CTAAAAAAAAAGATAACTTACTAGTTATGGATAGTTTTAATAAGCTATTAGATTTAATGCTCCTGAATTCATTTTATTAGGTATTATTAATAAGGAATATAATTATAGAATCCTTCCTAATACTAGATATATATCTTATGTAGTTATAGCTAAATACTTTACTTAGAAGCTATAACTAGAGTAGATTAAGATTAAACCTATTTACCTAGAGAACTATACTAGTATAATAAGTAGTATTATTTTAACTATTACTTAATTCTCTCTAGATATTAGTAATAACTACTAATATATAGTCTATGCCTACATGGTGCCTAAGCTAGGTGAAGGCACTAATCTAATTTTAGGAATCCTATAAATAAGGGATTAGAAGGTGATAGTAGAAGTAGAGAGACCCTGGCTAAAACTTATAGATAGATTTATAGTGAAAGGTATTAAGAATAAGCTAAAACTAGTAATAAAATAGATTAGTGCCTAGGGGTTTATAGTTTATAGCTAGTAGTAAAGGAAAGATAAAACTATATAGATCTTTACTACTAGTATTAAGGATATTAAGAAGGCCTTATAGGTTAAGAAGTATACTAACCTAGCTATAAAGCTGCTAGTGCATTACTATAAGTTCCTAGAAGTATTTAATAGGAAGAAGACTAATAAGCTACCACTATACTATCCTAAAGTTAATTATTAAATTAAGCTAGTTAAGGATGAGAAAGAGAAGCTAATAGAATCATTATATGGACTATTATATAGTATATCACACAGGGAACTCTTAGTACTATAGAAAATATTAATAGAACTATTAGATAAAGACGTTATCTATACTAGCAGCTCTATAACTATAGCACTAGTACTCTTTACTTATAAGTTAGGGGATAGGCTATAATTCTATATTAATTACTATGCTCTAAGTATAATTATAAAGAAGGATTAATACCTACTTTTCTTAATTAATAAGACCTTAAAATATATTATAAAAGTAAAGTAGTTTACTAAGCTAGATATTATTACTACTTTCTATAAGATCTATATTACCCTAGAAGATAAATAGTTAACAGCCTTCTATATATAATTTAGTCTATTTAAATAGCTAGTTACCCCCTTTAGCATAATAAATACACCTAGCACCTTCTAATAGTATATTAATTAGATACTCTAAGACTTCCTAGATAAATTCACCTCTATATATATTAATAATATACTAATCTTTATTAATAGGTTATTAGTAGAGTATTAGTAATATATCTACCTAGTACTTAAATATTTAAGGAATGCAGGGTTATAACTAGATATTAATAAGTATGAGTTTAAAGTAAAAAGTATAAAGTATCTTAAATTTATAATAGAGGCTAGTAAGGGTATATAAATAGACCCTAATAAGGTAAAGGCTATACTAGAATAACAGGCTCCTACCTCTATATATAATATATAATTATTCCTAGGCTTTATAAACTTCTATTACTAGTTTATATAGAACTTCTTAGATATTATATAACTATTAATAGTGCTAATATATAAAGAAGCCTCTTTTATATAGAGAGATAAGTAGGCTAAGGCCTTTAAATTACTAAAGAAGATATTTACTATAGTCCTAATCCTTATATAGTTTAACCCTAATAGAAGAATAGTAGTTAAGATATATACTTTAAACTAGGTAATAGAAGCTACTATATTATAGTATAATAATAATGATGTGCTAAGACCTATTATATATATCTCTAGGAAGAATACACCAGCAGAGTATAACTATAAGATATATAATAAGAAGCTACTAGCCATTATTAACACCCTTAAGGAATAGGAATTAGAACTAATTAGCCTGCTGTAATTTAAGCTTATTATAGATTATTATAACCTTAAATACTTTAAGATAGTTTATAGGCTTAATAAATAGCAGATATATTAGTTATACTAGCTAAGCTAATTTAACTATAAGATATATTATTAGTCTAGGAAGTTAGCAGCTCAGCCTAATACCCTATTATAATAGGAATAAGATATAATATAGAACATAGAAGATAATAGGCTTAAGGCATATAATTATTATTTAGTACTGCTGCAGGCTATTACTAGCTAGATATATATATAAGTATCCTGCACCCATAAAGTAGTGTTTAGTAAGGACATAAGGTCATTAAATAATTATACTAGTTAATATACTAATTAAACCTATTATATAATCTTATGTATAACCCTTACAGATAAGCTACTACTACTATTAGAAGAATACTAGAGGGGGGCCTAGCTATATAATACTACTCTAAGTAAGATATATTAAGCCCTAGAGAAGAGAGCCACATACTTCCCTAGCAAGCTATATATATAGGTATTAATTACTAAATATTTAATATCACTAGATGGCCACCTACTATATTAAAACCATAAATAGGTTCCTAATTTAGAACTATTATAAATAAGGATACTATAAGAGACCTATAACTTAGTGCTTATAGGCTATCCTAGGAAAATCATACCATATATAATAGTTATCTAAAACTTCTACTAGCTAGAGCTCTCTATAGATATCTAATATTTTATGTAGAACTATAATAAGTATAGTACTAATTATATATAATATAAGTAATACTAAGGACTACTAAAGCTATTACTAATCCTAGATTATAAATAGTAAGAGATTATTATTAATTTTATTATAAAGCTACCCACATCTAATGGTTATAAAGATAGTATAGTAATTAGTAATAGGCTTAGTAAGGGTATGATCTTTATTACCCTATAAATAAATAGATTTAGAGATAATAGTATAGTTATTAATTAATTAATTTATTAGCTATTATAGTATTCCTAGCACAATTATATTAGACTATAATCTATAGTTTATCAGCTAGTTCTGGGAGTACTTTTATAAGTAACTAGGTATTAAGTAATAACTCTTAATAGCCTTCTATCTATAGATAGATAGGTAGATTAAATAAATAAATACTATACTAGAGGCCTACCTAAGGAACTTCTATAACTACTCCTAGACTAACTAGAAGTTATTATTACTAATAGCCTAGCTTGCTATTAATAGTTAAGATACTATAAGTATAGGAGTTAGTCTATTCTTCCTAGACCATAGATATAATATTAAATTATTATAAGTTAAACTACTAGATTAAGAGGCTATTACTATAAATATAGCCTGCTTACTAAAAGAGAGAGCTAAAGTAATTATAATAAAGATAAAGGAAGCTGTTAATATAGCCTAGTTAGAACTTACTACTACTTAATAGTATTAAGAAGAATACTTAAACTACTCTTACTTAGTAGCCCTATGCTATACTATTAAGTTAAAATCTAGCTAGACTTATAAAATATCTAGATAGATTACCTAAGCTAAAAGCTTAATATATAGTATATAAAGTTTATAGTACTAGAAGCTATTAGGTTATATACTTACTAACTAGACACACTACTAGATATATATAATATATTCTATATTAGCCTCTTATAGCCTACTACAGATAATCTATTACTAAGTTAGTTAAATAATAATTACTAGCCACCCCTAAAGCTTATAGATAATAAAGCTAAATATATAGTTAAAGAGATTCTAGATAAATATAAGAAGTGAATTAGGTAAGGCTACTATCTTAGTTAAATAGATAGACTATAAATACCCTATATAGGAGCCTACTACTAACCTTACTAATATAGCAGTGCTTAACACCTGGGAAACTACCACCTCTAAGAAGGAGGAGAGGGGTAGTATAGTAGGCAGGGCCTGCTGGGTACTTAGGCTATTTAGCCTTTATAAAGTTATATCTAAACTAGATACTAGCTGTAAGTTATATAACTTCATACTAATTAATATAGTAATCTGCTTTACTATGTGACCTATGAACTACTTATATACTTCTTTTTATGTTGGCTGCCACAGCCCTAGCTAGATTTCTCCTTTAGTGATTTCTTACTGTCTAAACCTAGGTCATAGGTTTCTAAGGCTTCTAGCCTGTGACATCTAGTCTTCATTAAGATTAAAAAAAATTTAATATATTATTTAAGGATTACTAATAAATTATATATATTATCTGAATATCCTTAGCTACCTAGCTAACCTATTAGTAATATAAATAAAAACTAAGTAAATATATAAACTATAATATAAGTTACTTAATTTTTTATATATTCTCATTACTATAGACTCTTGCTTTTCCAATAATAGCATTACTATTTTACTATAAACTATTGTTTTGTACCTGCTGTTAGTGACCTGCTTAGTTTATAATATTATGATATTGACCGGTATGTATATGACTTTGATGGAGTCTACGGGTGTGTAAAGAGAATATTTAGTAGATATCATTGATATGTACCTAATCATGTAGACCCTTATGTTCCTTCATAGCTTAGGTAGAATTATAAAAGAGCGCGGGAGTCTGTTGATATTAGCAGGACATATACACGGCGGCCGCAGGCCTCCCCCTACCCTCACATGATTTGGAGACTCCACGCCCACCGTGATGAACGATTAGCCAATATTATATAGCTATATTTTTATACTACTTCTAATGTAGCTATAGTCCTTTTTTTACTAAAGTTTTTTTTATTACCATAGGGATACTGCTATATGCTTATCACATGCCACCCCTACTTATTTATATATTAAAACTAGCTTTATAAGCCCATGCACCGAAAGTGAATACCAGTTATGGTAGTCATTATATAATGTCTAGACCTGTTACCATTTTCAGCAGGTGCCCTGGTGCTAATAAGAATGGGGGAGGGGGGATGGTGTTAATAAAAGAAGATATGGTGTCTGTATTAGGACCCTAAAATTTTAGGGTTATGGAGGTCAGTAGTAAACCTGGTTATATACTGCTTTTAGTAAGGGTGGGTGTCTATGAGGAGGGGTAGTTGCTAATAAGGTGGAGCTTTAGAGAATGGTGTTGATACAGAATGGTATGGTGCCTGTATCGGGTATTAGGTCTAGCATACCCACCTATGATTTTGAAACACGTGAGGCTGGTGAACTATGTAATCTTGTGATTCAACCTGTAAATATGACTAATAATCATCAACACATAGGTAAGCCTGCAATACCAGGAACAGAAAACATGAGCAGTTCAATGGATTATAATACAAAGCGGAAATCTGGTGATCCTGGCAGTGATAATGAGACCAGTCCTGCGCTGAAACGGCGGAAGGTTTTTGGACCAGTGTTGCCATTATCATATGATCTTGAGGACGCCGAAGCTGAACAGCGTGCTGAGAGTACCAGAACTGATGGTCCCAGCCAGGAAGACGAAGATGAAGACGAAGATGAAGAGGCTGATGATGATTATGGTCCCAGCCTTCCCCCTTTAGGGGGTGACGTTACTGCAAATCCCAATAAGGTCGAGGTGGACACTGAGTCACATATACAGTCAGGAAAGCCAGACGCCCACAACAACAATTCTCAGCGTGATATTTGGATGTTGCGACCTCCAAGACCATCGGATTTGAGCTCGAGGCTTGATCCGACTAGATTGAAAAATAGGAAGTTTCAAGGGGGGCAATCGCTCAGTTATTCAGGGGAAGAAGTGGATATAACTTGGACAGAAACTCCGCAGCAAAAGCTAAAGCGCTTGCAAGATGAGGCCATGGGGGTTTCGTCTCAACCTGTGCTCAGTCACGGTAGATCAAGTACATCAATGGCGTCGAAAAGCCCACCGAGGCAGCATGTAAGTCTCAGCGGATACGCCATTGAAGTCTGTACTAAAGAGCCTATTCTGACGCCTTTCCAGAATTCATCAAAAGTGTCTGAAATATTGCCACCATCCTCCACAAATTCATTGATGTCCTCTTCCAATGATGACCCAAGTCGTCGTCCTTTCCGCTGGGCAACGGATATGGCCTCAGCGCCAAAGCTGTCTACTCTACAACATCAGAAACAAGCGGGTGAAGCTGTCGACTTTGCTTCAAAATTTACCAAAGGAAGATACCTGTAGCTTGAGCTATCTGTTGAGACCAGACTAGCGGATTCACTCAATCTGAACTACACCACTAGTCTAATGTGTTTTTAAAACTTATCTGTTGATGTGCGCATCATGTGGATATTAATTATTATTTACTGAGATATGCATACTGGGATTGTGATACTTTAATATACTAACCAACCATGCTATCTCAATAAAAATTGACATCTCAACATCAATGATAATCCATTTTCCCATACTAAACTGGATATTTAAAGTTTCATTCTTCTTAACAAAACATAACTATAATGATCTAAAATTAAGTATATAGATTATAGGTGCTATTTTAATATATATATCTCTCGTCTAAAAAATTATAGTGATGTATCTAGAGATATTAAGAATTAGGGGTAGATCTTAAGTCTACCATGTTCGACTATATCCTCTATATATATTAATAAAAGAGAATGACCCCTATATAATAGGTATACTATTTAGCATAAATTACATATTAGATAGCTAATCCTATATATAAAGATAGGAATACTAGCTATATATATATATAACCTTAATCTTATATATCATAATAGTGTAGTAATATAGACTATAGGCTATATAAAAATAGTATGTCAGGATTCTAGGATAGCACCTTTTTATCATAATTTTCTCAAGATTTTATATTCTTCACGTGGTCAATAAGATAGGAAATATATAATCTTTAGGGATCTATCATCAAGATGGTAGTTTTTGTTGAGATGGTGGGGTCGCGCTACGCATGACCCTAAAGACTAATGTTATAGGGGTTGGTTATACTATATTAGATGTGTGATCCCTTCTATCATGGTAGATGCATTAGTATTATATTATAGTGCTACTCAGATACCTCCTATGGTAGATTGTGCCATTTGTGTTGTGGAATAATGTTCATCACAATGGGAGGAGGTCCTTTAAAATGTGTAAGGATAGGGGGTAGGCTTATAGCTACCCTATATATATCCTACTAGTATTAAAGGGATTCTACCTCCCCCTTTTATACTTCCACCTGAGCTATTAAGGAATATAGTAATCTAAATAATTATATATATAGTAATAATTACTAGATATTACTATATATACTTATAGATTATATTAACCTACTAATATAGCTATTAATATCCTATACTTCTCTACCTAGGCTAAACTTAGTTTATAGAGTTCTTAGTAGTAGGAGTTAGGAGGCTTAGTTAATATCTATTATTATAATAATCTATATCTAATTATTATTAAGAGATATTAATTACTATATCTAGTATTTAAATATTATTATTTCTTTATTAAATATTTATAGAATTAACTAATTAGTTCTTTATACTCTTACTTTAAAATAATCTTAGTAATAGCTTAGTATACTCTTTATATAATAAGTAAGAGATATAATTATATTAGCTTATTTAGTAGTAGTAATAAGTAAGCTATCTGGTAGGGCTTGATATTCATATGATGGGGAAGATGCTTCTTCATTCTTACTATCTGCTATCATTAATAAACATACATAGGGCATGTGATAAGGTTCTGCATGAAGTCAAAGAAAAAAGAGAAAAAGAAAAGGATATAGTAATCTGTAAAACAAGAGTTATAGAGTAATCTAATAATATAAGGGAAGTGCTAATAAAATAAAAGTCATAGAATATAACTACTATAGGTTATTTAATAAATTAGTAACATACTTCCTAGCTTTACCTAATAGCCTCTAATCATCTACACCACTACCAGGTAAAGCATCACAATCCTTATCTATAAAGTTAAAGTATGTATTCTTAATCTATTAAAGTACTTTTCTAGCTAGGTCTATAATATTATATTCTTATTATAGGCCTTTATCTTTTTAAGTATCTATTATAATGCTATAGCAGGTTTTCCCTAAGAATAATTTATAGTATCTTTATTAATATATAATACTATTATACTAAGTACTTTAAGTAATACTAGCTAGTCCTTCTTATTAAGTAGAACTTCATTAGATAAGTTATATTTAGTAAGAATATCTTTTCTCTATACTAGTAATCTAGCAGCATCCTATGCTATATAATAGTCTACTATCTAATCTCTATACTTAGCTAGATTACTTAGTATATTAATATCTTCAGTATTATCCTTATTATTAGAAAGCTTAAAAAAGAAATACTTTATACCCTAGGCTATAGTTACAGAATATATTAGTTTCTTTAATTTAATAAGCTCTTAAATTACTTTATTAACCTTCTAAATAGCTATATTTAGGTCTAATATTTACTAGAGAATCTAGGTTAGTAGTAGTAGACCTCTAGGTCTATTCTATTGACTTAGATAAATAAGGCAGTTATTAGGCATCTTAAGATCTCTGAAGAAGAATATATTATATTTACTATTATCTTTCTTATAGTCCTCCTCCTTTTTCTATCTATAAATATTAGTTATAATAGACTTCTTAACCTAGTATTCCTCTAGTATAGAGACTTCCCAGGCTTAATATATAATATGGAATTTTATTATTAAGATTCTATATTTAGTATGTATGTTCTTAATATATATTAATTAATTTTTAAATATATTCTACACTATATATAGTCTTTCAACCTTTTTATTATCTAGTAGGAAAAGATGATAATCTTTAGTAGATATTATCTTTCTAGTAGAGTTATAAAGTTTAAAGAAAGATAAGGTAGTTTTACACTTAATATAGGCTAGAGTATATATAATCTTCTAGAATATATTAAGTCCTTCTAAGTATAAATATAGCTAGTCCTTTACTAAACCTATAACTAGTATTAGTATATCTATATTAAGAAACTTAGGTACTATAGGCAGTGCTGCTATAATCTTTATAATATTAAGATCTAATATATAGTACTTATTAGGTATAAATAAGAATAGACTATAGGCTAGGCCTTATACTGCTTACTAAGCTATCTTAATCTATTTTTTAATAATAGTAAGAATATTAGGATCTTTTTTATTCTTTAGTATATAGCCTATAATTAAGTTATCTAACAGTATACTGTATTAAATTCTTTATTATATAAGTGTCTAGATTATCCTTCTAATTTACATACTATTTAGCATTAGTGATTATTAAGGGCTTAAATAATGATTATAACTTATTCTATAAAAAATCTGAAAAAGATGGTAGTTTAGTATTAATAATTATTAAAGATAGGCATTCTAAGTATAATTTAAAAAAAGATTTTATAGTAAGGTGCAGTAGCTTAAGCTTAAGTAATCTTAAATATATTAATATTTCTAGAGTATCCTCTAGTAATTTAGGGATACTCTTTAAAGATATAAAAAATATAGATAAGATATGATTTAGGAAGAGAGAATGATATAATTATAGCTATAAGAATATATATATAGGTAAAATATTTACTAGTAACTTAATAATCTTATCTAGTAATAATAATAGTTTAATATATTACTCTATGGGAGATATATAGTAAGTAAAATAATATAGGAGTATAAGATATATAGCCTGTAAAGTAATATAGGAGATAATATAGGAGATATATAGAGTAAATAAAATTATAGCAGTAAGAGAGAGAGGTTAGAGGGAGGGTAATAGTAGATATAATAGGTATTACTTATTATTAGGGTAATATAATAGGTAATAAATAGCATAGTAAATAGCAATAATATAAAGACTATAATATAAAGAAAATATAAGTAACTAATATAAAGAAAAGTAACTAAGTATAGATATATTTAAAGCTTTAATTTATATTACTAGATAAGTTCCTATATATTATCCAGCTAGGTTAATAACATCTATTAATTTTATTCATCCCTATAGCCTTTCTACTTAATAAGATATTTAATTTTCTATTTATCCTTTTTGCCCTTTATAGGAAGTTCTTATTTAGTAATAATTTTTTTAAGCTTATAGGACTAATACTTATTAGTATTACTATTAATATAAATAGGGCCAGGTTCTTCTGATTTATAATTAAAAGGGTTATTATGATGGTATTTCTCTAAATAAGTAATAGAAATAACTAGATATAACTTCTAATCCTTTAGAAAGTTAAATTTATATACTAATAGGCCAACCCTTTCTAGTATTATAAAAGGGCCTATATACTAATTACTAAGCTTCTATCTAAGGGTTAACTATATTATATATCCTATATAGAGTTTTAATAGGACTTTATCATTTTTATGGAAAGTATATAGTATATATTATTTATCATAATATTCTTTTATTACTATTATAGCAAAATGTAAGGCTTCTATCACTAATATCTAATATATAAAAGATCATTTAGTAGGCCCTAGTAATATAATATTTAATAGTATGAGGAGATTTATGCTATATATAAGCTCATGTAGTATTACTTATATAAAAGTATTTCTTATAGTGTTAAAAACTCTCTGCAGCTTTAGTAGAACTAAGGGCTAATTAATTAGCCTATTAAGTAATATAAAAGTAATAAAGGAAAATTTTAATTATCTAGTTAGTATATTTACTCTATCTATCTATCTAAGTATAATATACTGTTAAATAATACTACTTAATCTTAAGTATCTTTATTAGGTTTATCTAGACTTAAGAGATAAATTTTAGGTCCCTATTAGAAATAATAACTTTTAGCAGACCCTAGTCTTCCTTATTAAGAGTAGTAAGTAGTATATCTACCTACTATTAAGTATTCTACTTAGTATGTCTAGGGATTGCCATTATTTACTTAGTGAATTTATTAGTAATAGATATCAGGGCATTAAATAAACTAGTATCTAGTAAATTAACCATAATATTAATTATAATTATGTGGAAAGGGATTACTAGTATTATAATTAGCTATAGTGCACTATATAGCTAATATCATCTTATCTATTTTTTCTGATATTTAGGGTAATAGCATATATATTACTTTACCTAATATTATATATAATTAAAAATTAAACTATTAAGTAATTCTAGTGTTCTGTTAACACCTTGATGGCTATTCTCATCATGTGTAATGTATAATATCTCATAGAGTAAGGAATATGGTATGTAAAGGAATCTATCTTTTATATAT